CGCTGTGCCGTTTTGACGCTGTGCTGTTTTGTCGCGTGCTATTTTGACGCGTACTGTTTTGTCGCCCGGCTGTTTTGACGCTGTGCTGTTTTGATGCGTGCTGTTTTGACCGTGCTGTTTTGTCGCGTGCTGCTTTGTCGTGTGCTGTTCTGTCATGGTGCCGGCGTGACCGTACTGGGATTGTACCCCATTTTTCATTAACTTTTGCACCAAACAACTCAATACCTTTGAATAAGAAAATAGTTATTTCTCAAACTTTCACATTTCTTCCCGACCCCTAGTGCTACATTTGGACCCGGACAGAGATTTCGGCGATGCTAAATCTATTTTTGCACTGAGAAAAAAAATTTTCTTTTTTTGGGGGCGGACAGTTTGTGCATCAACGAATAGATACACAGTAGTGCAAAAAGCAAAAATATTTTGTCGTTTAGTTGGACAGGCCAACCCCTAACATGCATTGCAGTGGAATGGATGAAAATAATTAATATGATTTTGCTCTGCAAGTTTTTTTCCTCGTCCGAAATGACTTGGACCAATCACAACACACTGCCATTAAAAAGTTGTATAAAGTTTACTCCTCTCAGCCTCTTCTTTTTTCCGAGTTAGTTGCTCAAAACTAGACGTTTTTGAAGCCCTTATGGACGACACCAGATTCAACGCAAAACTATTGCGCCGACTAAGGTTATTCATAAAACAACAGGGTCTGAATTCCGCTATTCAGAAAAAGATGTTATTTTTTCTGAATAACGGTTTCTTTTAAACGATTAAAGATAAAACAAATTCGGCAATTTAAAATATTCAGTAAGAAAGTCTTCTTTGATTACTATCGTGGTATATGCAATAAGAGTTGTGCAGTGTTCTGCGCCCTTGTAAACTTTTTAAAACCTAACTAGTTTGGAGGAAACTCTACAATAGGTGCTCTGCCGTCTGAATGATGCACACTGTTCTTTTGCACCTTAGTTGTTGGACAATAGCAACCAGGACGTCCTGTTCTAATCAAGTAGATGGCGGCCAGTACTGGAGCAAGAGCCGATCTCTGGACAGTTGTTATTCATTTTACGGGCAAGTTCATAAATCATTTTGTTTTAAACATTAGGTGGTACGCGCACAGCAGCTCAATGAGAAAAACAAAACAAACACGAATGGTGAGACAGTCAATTGTATCTACCTTGTATCACGACGCCTTTTCAACAACCAAAAGTTTTCACTTGCAATCTAAGTGCTGAAACATGATGTAGGCAAAGTTAAATCACCCAAGCGCTTTGATGACACCTCCAGTCAATCATGTCTATATTCTATATTCACACCTTCCAAACAAATCGAGATGATTGGGCTAAAATAAAGCATCCCGACAAAACAGAAATTCTAGCCAAACGCGCAACTAGACGAATTGGAGATTCTAGCCAAATCGGGCATTCAACCAATTTGAAGCGTCCTGCTAAAATTGTTTGTTTTTTTTCAGAAAAATTGCGCCAAACAAATATCTCAGCCCGATCTGTACTCTAACACCCAAACCCCAAGTCATGTAGATTCCAAATACCTAAGCCCCCCTCCCCCTTTTGGTGCCCAAATGCCTGCTTGCACACTGCTTTTTAAGCCTGTTGCTTTTGTTTTGTTGCAGTTCAGACCACGCACTGTTTTGATTATTTGTTTCTACACGAGGCTTGAGCGCATGTTATTTTTCTCATTGGGATAATTGTAACAAATTCCATGTTCCCCGGTTATGTTCCCCGACAATCTGGGTACCATTACCGCTTTTAAATGGCGCACAATCAAGCTTCCCCTAATTTGATTCGCGTAAGTTCCGGTGGGCACGTCCGTTTTATGGGTGTAGGAACAAATGGTTCCGGAACTAATGGTCCCGGAACTAATGGTCCCGGAACTAATGGTCCCGGAATAAATGGTCCCGGAACAAATGTTCCCGGAACTAACGGTCCCAAGTCCAAGGTAGGAAAAAATGGTCCCGTAAGAATATCGTTTAAAAACTAAGATACACCATGCAATATATTTCACCCTTTATGCACTCTGTGATTTCCTGGTGGAATGAAGGATCTCGTTTATATTTTGAGGCCGGTTACTTCGAAGAAAGTGGTCGGGAATCGAACTTAATTTTCTTCAAAATCGTCAGAACAGTTATCTCCTAACTGTTAATTTAGAGACCTAATAAGATAATATAGGAGTTACTGCTATTTTCATATAAGGGGCTTTACGATATTTATAGTATCAGTAGGCTCTTTTGAAACGAAAAATGAGTACCCTTAGTCATTCTCTTGAAGCCATGAAACTCGAATTACTTCTATCTCGCCATGACCCGTGATGGTAACACACAGAACGAGCGGAGCTCGATGCCTTTATAGGTGCATTAGGTTTCCATGTACATTTGGTGTTTCTCCATGTCTCTTTAACCAGATCAGCGACTGCACTAGCTAGGTTAAACTATATTTTACGACAAGATGTTCAGATATTATAAAATTTATTGATAACGCATATATGGACGTGCCTTAGCATCTTAAACCTGGTGTTCAAAACCGAACAGTGCGACTGACACCTCGAAGCAATTCCTCTATCGTCTTTGCTCCCTGGTCGTTCTGGGTGGAGAGACTGTGCACTCGGCGCTGCATCTGGACCAGCGCTGTTTTTGTTTTCTTCTCCGCAGGGATGGGCAAAAAAGATGGAAATATGTATCGAAATACAAATACAAAATACTTCGTCAAAAATGCATTTAATTACAAATCTAATTACATTTCCAAAAAAGCATTTATGTACAAGATACAAATACAACCAAATGTGTTTGGTCTCCTCCAAATACTTTTCCAAATACATTCCTCAAAATTTGCGTCAGCGGCTTCAGGGCATCTGCAACGGGTTTCTGGGTATCTCATTTTAATTTTGCATCGCACACTCGGGAGTTAGTGTGCGAGGCTCTAGTAAAGTAATAGAAATATAATCACAAAAAGAAAATGTAATCAGCGTGGACGTAATAGGTTGAAGAAGTAGAGCTTCAAGCACTTTTTTTTGTCGATTACATTTTGGTATAGACCAACAAAGAACCGAGACGACAGAGCCGCAGCACTAGCTAGAGAATTTTTTATTGTCGCAACTCGCACCAGTTACCAAAATCTGGACGACCCGCGCATTTCGAATGTTCCAGGCAAAAATATGGATGGAAATCAGGCTGGAAAGCATCACAAGTTGTCGCAGGCACTTATTTAGGCAGTCTGCCAGTTGAACGTCGATTTCATCACTATTCTTTCCCTGGACTAGCACCGTAATTACAAAGTCACTAAACGCTTGTGATTGATTGAGAGACACTGCATTCGGTGCAGAACGTAGCTTTCTTCCTGCTCTAGACATTGACAATAAATTTGAGGGATGTATTTTCCCCCACAAAATTGTATTTAATTACAATTGTATTTGAGATACCCACGTTTCAGTATATAAATACACACGTCAAATACATTACCCAATTTGTAATTAAATACAAATGCAAAATACACAAAGTATTTGAAATACGTATTTCAAATACTTGTATTTGAAATACTGCCCATCCCTGCTTCTCCGCAAAAACTCCTCCTGAGCAGTTTTTACGGAGACAGAAAAAGCTTCCGCCCGTAGAGCGTCGATCGCCTTCCATACAGTTGGATGGCTATACCCGACTATGCTGCTGAATCCCCGGTTACATGCCTCGCAGTTGTTTTTGAGCATCATTTTTATATAGCAGTGTTTTTGAGCAGTATATTTATATAAGCGAGCCCCATTCGATTATTGTCGTAGAGAGGCTACCTAACTTTTTTTTTTATATGGACTGAAAATATATTAATATATGACGCTTGTAGCACAAAAGTTTAAATAAAACAAAAAGAAAATCAGCGCAAAACATTTCTGAGCTTCCCAGAAAAATATAAAAACCGGACAAGTTCGTGCAACTGGCAGCATGGAAATTCGAAGCTTTTCGTATGATTTGGAAACCGTAAAATGTCCTACCGGCGAGTGTTATTGGATTTTATCGGATTTATTCGAAAACGCCGAGCCCATATTGACAATATTTATCTGGGACCATTTTTCCCTAGTTTGTACTTGGGGCCATTAGTTCCGGGACCATTTGTTCCGGGACCATTTATTCCGGGACCATTTACTCCGGGACCATTTGTTCCGGGACCATTTGTTCCGTTTCCCCCGTTTTATCGCCATCTCGTTTTTTTTTTTACCTCGAAGCAAATGATCGCTCATTAAATCATTTTTGTTGTAACGCCTGCCTCTACTATTTAATCTGCTCGACAATATTATATTTTGCGCGTGCAGAATCTGGGAAATATATTTGGCCATCGCAAAAGTCTTTTTCGTCATTTTAGTGGTTGAAACTAAAGCAAGAAAGAAGAATTGAAGGATGTAGTGGTAAAATTGTAAAAGCAATAAAAATAAAAACAGTCGCAAGCTCTCAACTATCAACGGGGCTGGGATAAACATTTGCAATATGTGCATGTAACTCTCCCTTCGTCAAATATATATTAACGAAAAGATAGACCCATTGTATACGTCATCTAGCATGCAGTGCAGTCTGCTTCGACACGTAACAACAACAACAAAAAAAAAAGCTGTGGGAGAGTTTGCACTCTTGATTTCGTCATGAATAAAAAAATAAACAGATTGGGGTCATAGTCCCTTGCCACGGCTAATGCATTCCCGGTATGCGTGGCTTGCACATGACGACATTTCCGACGACCTCCAGAAAAAAGGGGAAGAAGGAGCTCTCCTCTTACCAGGATCCTCCTTTGTGCCTCCCGGATTTGCACAGGCGTCTCTCTTCTCCTCCCAGAAGATTATAGAAGGTTAACCTGTCACTCAAAATTCTTACAAAAACAGCTTCTCTCTCTTCCTCTTGCATGGTGTTCAAAAGTATGCAATGTTACGTCAGTGCAAGGCGCCTATATAAGAAAGAAAGAAGCCTCCTGGAGGTATACGCTACGTGTCATTCGTTGTACTAAGAGAGAGCTACGAAGATGTTCAAACTGAAGTTTTTTATTCTCTTCGTACTCGCTGTAGTATGTTTCGGTAAGAATATGCCATTTTGTCTTTCTTGTTAGCAAATATTTCCATTTCGCTTATTTTCATTTAGAGCTCACTGGGTTTGTTCTCTTTGTATATTTTTATACATTTCCAGTTTTCTTAGATATACATCCAATGGGATGTAGCATTTGAATCGTGGAAACACAATGTACGCTTTGTAGCAGCAAAACTGACACGAAACCTTAGCTATCACTGAAGCTTAAATGGCTAGGTCGTGCAGTTTTTCTTTTCCTTTTAACATATAGGATGCTACCAAATTAAATGTACTACTCCACAGCATAGTTTTCCACAGAATAGTGGCTTTCTACAATTTGCTATCGTATTTTCCTTCGGAAATACCTTAGAAAAAAAAGTTGGGCCTCCAGTCCACGCCGTGAAGGTGGTTGGCCAGCGAAGCTCTGGTATCACCTGCAACGATTGCCCACTGCACTGTACCAAAAGATTGACGAAAGAAAAGTAAATGCAGACTACCAAAGCTTTTTTATATATGAAAGACTTCGTACTCTGCCGCTGCCACGGCAGCTTATACAACCATTATCATTACTGAGAAACGCATGCGGAGAGCGCTACGTGCTTCGCATTGTTCGCACGCGCCTTATCATCTATCATGTGGTTTTGACACTTGTTTTGTGGTTTTCTTATTGAAACAATTGTGTCAAAACCATATGATGAATAATCAAGCACGCGCGAACAATGCTAAGGCGCGCGTCATGGTTTTTTGTCGACAACAGTTCTGTTGACGGACACGAAGATATCCGACCAACGAGTCATATACAGCTTCGCTGGAAAACTTTATCCTTCAGATGTGGTCTGCCTCTGCACCCATATAATAATCTGTTTCATCCAACAATGGCAAAAAAGGCTTTTGTTATTGTTAACTGGCGTTTCCTTAACCGCTGACTGGCCTTTGCCTAACCACAGTTAAAACGGCTCGTGTATCTAGGGTATAAACTACATATTGAGCATAACCGGGAAGAAGCCGGTGCTTACGAGACAACTCGTCGCCTAAATATAGTCGCAAATCATTTCGACTTACTGTTTCCACAGCTGTACTGTATTGTACTGATCACCACCTATAAACGAAAGAAAATATATCAAGACAAGTAGTGAAAGCCAGTTAATTTCTCACTGTGAGGCATGATAACATCATTCTAAAGCATATGAAAACATTTTCGACTATATTTTTCGTTACACTCAAAAAGTGTATAAATAAAACCGTAGGGTTTTATGCCCTAATTAAAGAGTAACAAATTTAAGTTACTTATCGTGACGATTAACACACTTTATATTATATCCTTCTTGGTAAAAATAGCGCAAAGAGAAGGGAGGAAGAACGTAGCGACAAGGGTATAGTGCTAATTTTTTAAAGATGTATAACCAACCAGCCCACCTGATGATTTTAATATATTATATCCTCTTGACCGAGTAACTCATCTGCACAGACCGCGTTTGCGTAGCTCTGGCTGCATTTTTTAACACTCTGCAAAGCCTAAATAACACCTTGTATAAATCATGGCTCGATCAAAACTCGTAAATTCCAGCTTTTTAAATTTTATTTGTGCGCCTCAGGTGCCCATAGGAGCGGTATAACGCCGGTGTCGCTAGGATCGCTATCCGCCCATATTTTCTCGCGTGCGGGCGACATACAAGTTCTACCTTCAAGCGGCGCTCTTCTGTGGGGCTTGTGAAATTATCAATCTAAGAACATTAATTATAAACACAGACGCGTTCCAGGCACAACCGCTAAACTGCTTGCAAGGCAAGTCAATTCACTTTTTTTTTTTTTAAATTATGCTTTCTAGGGCTTCTGGGTGAAAAATATGTTCACGTTCCATGAACTCACGAGCGACCATGAGAGGCTTTCAATCAAGAGGCTTGTAGCAGCTCTCGTGGAGTGCACACGTGTTCACTGTTCAAAGCTCTCAAACCGGCAATATCTGAAAATTGATAATGACCTTTGGTTGTATCCTCACTGCTGCAGCCCGTCTGGAAGATCCTGTAAAACATATCGCCTACAAGTGTCATATTGCCACACTTTCAGATACTGCGCTAAGAATCTGATGATTGGAGTAAACAGCCCCATAATGCAAAAGACGACATCCGCGAAGTCATAGCACAGGCGTCTTTTCATCGAATGAATGCACTGCCTAGTCCTGTTTTAGGTGCTCGTGCGAGATTTTGTTGGGTTTCATCGGTCAACGGAAAATATTTTATACACGGCATATTTATCAGCGTACAACTTCTACTAAGAACTAGATGTGGTCTGCTCCGCCACGTCAGAACCTCCTTCGCTTTTCTTAAAATTGATGTTGTAGAATATGATTCATTCATGGTTTATGGAATGTTTACGCTCCCTTTTTCAGGTTCTGAGAACGGTGAAGGTGAAGGTAATTCATCTGCACCAGGTAATTTATTATTTCCACTCGCATCTTCTGTTTTCAATTCATAAACATTTTATGAAGCGCTTTCAATAGTCAATCACTGGCATATAGTTCTTTGCTTCTGTCCTATTCTTCACTCTAAGAAGGGGGCGTACACGGGTACTCCCCTTGTCCCATATGTAACTCCCCAAAACTACATTTCGTCGTTCTGTCTACTGACGTCAAGCTGGCGATACCAACTTTTACGAGCGTCTTGATAGTCGACCGGTACAACCTATTTTATTAGCTAATGTACTCATTAAAGGCTACATGAAGACAATCAAGGTTTTTTCGCCCCGGCTGCAAAGCCTCAGTAATTTGTTTTTCTTGTCTTTGATACGGACATTAGTTATTTAGTACGTTATATTATAACAGCTATCAAGCCACGTCAGTAGACAGAACGACGAAATGTAGTTTTGGGGAGTTACATGTGGGACAAGAAGAGTACCCGCGTACACCCCCTATTTCTTGGAGTGTTGCATTTTTTTTTTAATAACTGCTGCAATAGGTATTAGGCATTACTTACTGACAATCATATACCGAACTTAATAAAATAAAGGTGGAATTTAATATTTGTGCCTCTGCTACGTGTGACAATTATTAATTTTGAATATGAAAAAGTACCGATTAGACAACTATCTTTGTTTCTACTTAAATTGGTCATGAAGCGAAAGTTAAAGAAGTGCGGGCCATCCGAAATAAGTGTGAATAGCGTAAGTGTTCAATGTCCATCACATCAACACTGGAATGCACAGGATGCAGAAATACATACACATAAAATGCTGTAAAATGTAAAAGTATTTGCAGGTTCTGACACTTTCAGAGGCCAATGTCGCCAATATAACTGACGCCAGTTCGAACTATGTCCTCAGCCGGTGTCTATTTTAGGGTATTTTACCCACTAAAAACATCACGCATATCGGTTTGGACAAAATAGGTTGACTTTATTACGCTCATCCTCTTCTTTGTCTCAACACACAGAAGTGGGAGTTAAAATCCAGATATGGTATGATACTAATATATTTTAAGGTTCAAACTTGTCTTGTCATTTTCACTGGAAACACGTCACGCATATACTCATATTGAAACATTGCGACTGGACACGGACGAAGCGAGAAACTTTACACGCTGCTTCGTCCGTGACTCCGTGTGCAGTCGCACTGCTTCAATACTAATAAGTATCAACTCGCCTCCTTATCTATACTGTCACACGTATATATAGTGTCTCCAAAGTCACCAGGCTTGATCTAAACTGAACCGTAAAAATCGACGCCTGCACGAAGTGTTTTTCGGAGTTTTTCGGATTTCTCTAGACACGCGGAGCCCCAGCTAGAAGGCATTTATTTGTATCGATCTTATAACCGCCATTACTCCCCTCAGAGAAATGACCAGGTGACGTCTCGAAAGACGATAGCACGTTTTTACTTCACCGATACGACGTTTTTTTTTATATTTGGGAAATGTGAATAAAAGTCGGGAGAGGTGCTTTCCTCGAAAAGTATCAGAAACAATGCTGTAAGTAAATACAAGCACATACTCATTGAATGTACTTAAAGTAAAGTACAAGTCCTCTGAATCTACTTGAAGTGTATTTAAAGTACAATGTACTTAAATTACTTCCCAACACTGCAAATATCAGCACATTTTTGTTGACGAAATATTCTGATAGCCCTGAATTCAGAAGAATCGTTAACTCGCAATCCCACAAGGCGCGAAAGTCAGCAGTGTCTTGTGTAATGTCTGAAAAGTCGGTGCAGAGTAAGTAATATTTTTCACCAGTTTCGTCTGAGTTTGGTCCACGCTTTCAGCCGAGCTGGGCTGAGGCGTGCATGTCACGAAGACAAACGAAATGCTTCCTGGCGACCATCTCATTTGCATTCAGGCACTAAAAGATACAGATGCAGACCTGTCTGAGGAGGAGTAATGGCTGATTTTGCTCGCACACGTCTCTTGGTTAGTCCCGGTTGAGTGCAGTTACCGCCGAATTCAGAAACCTCACTCAATCTACACTCAAACTGAAGGGCCCCTCCACTTCCTCGAGGAAGGCGCGAGGGCCGGCGCTGGCCAATCGCGACGGCGGATCCGTCCTCACGATTGGCCAGCGCCGGCCCTCGCGCCTTCCTCGAGGAAGTGGAGGGGCCCTCCAGTTTGAGTCTAGTTTGAGTGAGGTTTCTGAATTCGGCGGTTAGTCTCCATGTTTTACAAACGGTACCTCGCTTGAACCAAAGTGTCTCTTCGGGGAGCAAATAGGAGTTCAGAGGACCAAATGATGCACTTAGTCGTTTAAAACCATAATTTTGTGTTCCTAAAAAAATGTTAGTGTTTTTTATTATTATTATTCATCTTAACAATAAACGACGCATCGCTGAACGTTCACTCTCCGCCCAAATATAACTTTAGCGGTCTAGACCATATGCCCGAAGATTCAGGATTTGCTGTCATGTGGTTCAAGAGTTATAAGTGATTTTCAAAAGTTTACACTGGGAAAATGGCGGCCGAAGGAGTCCACAAATTTATGAAGATGAGTGGCAACAGCTACAGGGAACAGCCCCTACGTTTCAAAGTTTCAAAAAGCCGGTCGTATTTTTTGTTAAAATACAGTAACAGTTATTTCTGAAACTTAGGTATTTTGCCTGGACCGCTAGTGCTACAGTTGGACGGAAACTAAGCGATTGACGATGCACAGATTATTTTCGCAGAAAAAAAGGCCAGTAAATTTTTATCAGGGATATGCTGCATTTAAGCTATGCCAACCAAGCTATAACTATCGTACATACCAATCAAAGTCACAACACACTGATATTGCCTCTATAGAGGGCCAGCGTGAAGCATGAGAAATCCGGGCGGAATCAATTGGCCTTGCGTTTGCAGCAGATCCTCCCAACCACCGGCAGTGTCTCTCGCTTTAGTTTTTACTCTGAAAGTAATATGTGCGATTTAACAATCGCCCCTTAGATACTGCATTTTATTCATTATAAAGCCTTAGGAGTAAAGGTTGCTGTCAATTTTTATGTTATACAAATATTGATAACAATAACATACATCCTTTTTTTACTCTGAAAGTAATCTGTGCGCTCTTCAACTCCGTGCACGAGTGGAACGTAGAACGCACCTGCTTTCGTCAAAGCTATACGCTCGACAAGAAATGGTCGTTTACTTCTCAATACTTTCCATCCTCACATCCACCGCTCATATGAATTTGAAAACTACCACCTTCTAAATACTGAAGCTGAGTATTTCTTCTGATTTCAAAACGAGAGGATTGTGACATCGCATTAAGTTAAACGTAATACCCAGCTGCTAACACAACGTATACGGTTAGGTAACTGTATGTAACTTAACACCCGACTGCCAATAGGACTCAAAGTGCAATGCTGTTGCGGGTTTATCACTTGGTTTTTATTCCTGCTTACTGAAACGAACAGTCGTATAACAACACCATGGTTCAAACCAACGTGCAGTATCTTGGCCTTGGTTTAAAAGTGTTTAAAGGCAATTGATTGCATTTTTGAGAAACTACCCTTGGCTATAGCCCAATTTTCTTCTCCCACTTTTGCAATTTCTGAAATATTCACACCCAATAACAATTATATGTTTTTTCTCCTTGATTGCATTGATCCTGAACATTTCAACATGAAGCAAAAGTCCACCGTCCACTCGGTGAGCACAGATTTGGTTTCGAGTGCATTTGGACTTTGCTTAATTTCTCAATCGACTGAAAACCATGAAACGTTTATTAAGCTGTGTATCAATTTTTCCACCATCCATCGTTTTAAATTCAGTGATAACTGACAAATCCCATTCACACAAAAAATAGGGTGTCCACTATGAACAAATTAATTGGAATGCTATATTTACTGCGACTTGGTACGCAAAAGCAAACAACCTTTAAGCTCTCATAAAATATCGTGATATCACAAGATTAAAATGTCTACCTAATCAGCCATATTTTATATTAGCCTGTATTCTACAGTATTTGTTTAGATTTTTAGAGTTCAACAGATTTATACGTTGCTGTATTTCAGTTCATTTATTGCGCCAAATAACATAAATACATTTATGGTGTCAATACTATTTGCAGATAATTCCCATAACTTTTAGATTGTCGTTCGAATATTTTGTTTCTATTCATATAATTATTTTGTAATTAAATGTTTTTCTATTCGTCTATCTAAATACGCAAACTGAACCTACCTATCATCTTAATATTTAAGTGATTACGATTATATCATCGCAATCACACCGAAAAGTGCACGCGACCGCAGGTTTTCTTCCGAGAGACGCTAGGTTTGCGGCATCCAGCGATACTACTCAGTGAAGTAGAATGAAGCAGATTCACGTGCACAAAAGATATGTGATAGCGACGGAGCTTGTGTATTACATGAGTATAACATGCTCACGTGAAAGAGACCAGTAGGATTTTGCTCTTTCTCTCATTTGTGCCTTGGGTCATAGCTTTATGCTTTTTGATCTATGGCAAGAAGATAAAGTCGTACGTTTCTTAACATTGTGAGCGATTAACAGAAAGTGAGGGCGCAAACGTGCCGGTGGAGATTACTAGATATAACAAAACGCCGAGACTGCAAAAATCAAACACGACGCACACAGTCTCTAGCACAACTGAAATTTTATTTCATTTGAAAAGTGTTTAAATTGGAAATGCCACAAAGAAAACAGCAGAACATCACAAAAGAGGAAAAACAATCACCTAATTGTCTCGTAGACCCTGTGATTAAATGTTAGAAGAAACATCAGGTATCTTCAAGAAGATATCGCTCTTGAAGGAAAACTCGCTTAAAACTGGAAGAGTCTTCACTCCTTTAGCTCACACACGAGTAGGCTACAGACCAGCACATGAGCCTTCCCAATCAACGTCAATGTATATTTTCACTGAACGCTGCAGCAGTCTTGCCGTCTAATGTAAAAAAAAACAAAAAACAACTAGCTATAGCCCGCTTTGCTTAAGCGGAACTGCGATGGCACCTTTAGTAAAACGCTCGTGAAATAACACGTTTTACTGATTACAACAATTCGCACGATTTAACAGTATCTGGACATATCAGCGACCACATCGGCACGATGACCCGGCAGCCCGGTTATATGTATAAACCCATTTTGCTGTCGAAGGGTTGGAGGCAGGAACATGATCGCCATTCAAGCTCTTTAAAGATTGAATTTGCAGCGAGGCAAATGGCGATACCCGTCCCTGTCTGTTGGTATGAAGCCTCATGTGGTGTAAAAACTGCTGGCAATAATTGTTTGCTCACAAACATTAGATAACGCACAATTTAGATCAACCTTGATTGTACTCAGGCACGTAGCCAGGATTTTGTTTCGGGAGGGGGGGGGGGGGGGGGGGCCGCCCATGACAAAATGCTGTATGAGGGGGAGGGGGAGAGGAGGTTCCAGCAAAACGGAAGATTTCGGGGGGGGGGGGGGGGCGGGAAGGGGGGGGCTGGGCCCCATGAGCCCTCCCCACTGGCTACGTGCCTGAGTGTACTTAAGGTTGATCCACCTTACTTTACCCGACCTTACACTCGAACGCGCGATTGCTATTATTAAAGCTGCGGAGTCCTACGTTCAATATTGGAACGCCAATAAAAGCCCGGAATCTACCCCTTCTATTACGAAATAGGTTGGTTTCAGTATCCCTGATCCCGATGAACGAAAACGCTCAAACCGTCTCATAAAGGATTTCCTCCATCCGGTCGGCGTTCCGCTGCGGTACCTCATATGTCCAGTGCTTCCCTTAGGATTTTTGTTCTGGGATATTTCTGACAAATGCAGTAACATCAATTATTTTCTGCTTTTCATGACCATACATTGCAAGAATATCCGCATAAAACTCGCGGCTTCGATTGTTATTTCTTTTTAATTGTTATGTTGTTTCCTCAAGCAAAATTTCCTCATATTTGGCTATAATATATATTTATGTCAACTGCAAGCACTGACTATTTGATAGAAAACTGACTAGCGAAAACATGTCTAATTTATTCATTGATTTACTTTAAAACGGTGAGTACAGAGCACAGAAATTAAACACTACGGTAGAACAGTGCTGGTATATATGCCACAAAATTAACAATACGTAATTAAGTTAAAAGTTAACTTTGCTTTACCTTCTTTTGTCTTGTCTTTCGTGTGCGCTAAACTCGTTGTTTAGCGCACACACAAACAACTAGCACAAGCTTCAGCCTTAATAAGATTCATTCATTAATTCATTCGTTTCTTCATTGAATAATTTAAGTACTCATGAGCTGCTAATGTCTTAACGATGCACAATAAATATATTAACAATTAGTCAAGAACAACATAAATCCTCAAATTTTCATAGCTTGTCACATGACCCGCATACAACCCGTATATAACACAGTCGGTGCAGCGGCTATTGACGTTTCTGGCTCACATTTTGCAATATTTAAATTTTTTTTCTATTCGATAAACAGTCTACCTGTTGTGTATCCTTATTTGGGCATTGGGTGATACTATAAATTTTAATTAGTTACAAAACTACAGCTATATAAATACGAAGCATTCTTTTGATATCCTTGAAAATGCTGTAAGGCCTGCAAATGACGAAGTTGAAAATATCATCTGGAACGCCATAAAGATAACTCCATCTTACGCCATTACGCGATGGGCCTTTAACTCTATAGTAGGTGAGAGGTTAAGAGTTCAGGGAAAGCTCCTCCCACCCCTTTTCTCTTTAACAGTGCTAACGCTGGAGAGGAGGTTGCCTCTTCTCCAGCGTTCGCTCTGCTGAAGTCGAGAGAGGAGGAGGTGCTTCCCCAGATCTTTTAACCTGTCGCCGACTATAAAGGCCCAACGACATGTGCGCGTTTTTTACGCGCTTCATCAGCGCTTCATCGTCCCTCCGCGTCAGCACGCGCCTGGAGAGAAAAAGGGCGGCTAATTCCATGGGAACGCGCTCCGACCCGCGTCACTCAAACGCTGCGCAGTGTCACCAGTTCGACCAGGCTTAAAACATCGGACAACTACGTGGTTACAGTGTATTGGTACTGCACAGAGTTCATTTAGAGATTATGAACATTCTTTTTTTTTTTTAATTCTAAGTCAGAGATAATCAACTGTCAATCCCGAAACAGTCACGTATACGTCGTTGCATCTGCTGCAAAGAAGGGCATCTTGAAAATCAAGAGATGTCAAGAACTATGCACTAACGCCGTCAGTAACTACGTGTGCAAGTAGACAATGAACATGAAGGGAAATTCAGCAATTAGTGCGATATGTAATATATAAAAATCACAATATTCTCCCTGCATTTGTATAGGTGTGAGGTAGTTTTGTACTATACGTTCAAAACTTCTTATCTGCGTGCTTGAAAACTTAAAAAATTTTAGGAAAGCCAGAAAACAGTTATCGACCGAGAAGAGCGGCACAACAATAAACAGAAAAACACATTTTATTGCCCGTGTACTTTTACTGTTTTACGTGTTTTAACCGCTCGTAAATGGGGCTCATTTCAGAGGCCCGTATATTGCGCAGATTATCAGTATTAGTGTCATCGGGAAAATGGCGCACCTTGAACAAGCCCTACATTCTTGTCAGGTGTTATCTTTGCTTAGATTCCTCGCTTCTCTTTATGTGCGTGAAGTGGGAAATAGGAATGTGCCCGAAATACTGCGAAGTTAAACATCGCATAGTGATCAGATATATACTGTAGCAATTGCACTTTTGTAATATTAATAAAGTTAACCTACTATTCGCTGCGACCCAAGTAACAAATCTGATCCCTGGTATCCTCACACGAAGAGACAAAGTACAAGCGCGTTTTCCCATGGGATTGTGCAGGAATATCGCAAAACTAGACTGGTTGCTGCCTGCTTCAATTTGAAATCGTAAGTCTTGTAGACATCAGTGCCAGCTGAACCTCTAGCGCGTACATTAAAATAGTTCTATGTTCTTTGCTTGGCAAGCCACTTCCGGCGGCGACGCCGAGATCTGGTCATAGAGATAATTTAATAATCTTGAGCGAAATGGCCCATGTATTCCGGCTGCTTAGGAACGACGAGGCATAGATGCAGACATCGGTGGTCTCGATGGGAGCATACTGCTGGCGACGCTTTGATCTACACAAAGAAGTAGGCAACATCTTTGCAAGGTCTGCCTATTGCGTATTTTCTAGCTTTACTTTGCAGAAAAACACCACCGTCGCGCATTGTATACAAATAAATGAATTTGACGCGCTCTCAAACAATTTCAACTGGTCACGACAAAACAAACACGTCAAACATATTGTCTGTTGTAGCAGTAAGAAAGCAAAAAACAAACAGACTGGCAAAAACAGACATGAAAGCTTGTACATGTCTGTTTTTGTCCCTCTGTGTTTTTTTGCTTTCTTACTGCTACATCTGTCCCAACAAGCTCGTCAAAGTCTTCTTGTCTGTTGTTGTTGTTGTTTTCTTTTGTGTGTGGGGGGGGGGGGGGGGGGAGGGGGGGGAGGGGGGGTTGGGGGGGGGAAGGCAGGGTTGGGGGAACCACCGATGTTATACTCCGTTCCACCTTCAGTGCGAGCGCAGTGGACGCCACGAGCTATCCCAGCCGATCAGCGCCGGGAGAAAATCGCGTGACCTTTCGGTTGGCCAGAGCGAGGCAGGGAGCTCAAGGTCACATAACACTCTCTCCACGCTGGATTGGCTGGGATGGCTCCTAGCCTCCGCTGCGCTCGGACTGAAGGTGAAACGGAGTATAGCGATCATGGTTTGCTGCGTCATACCGCTTTCCCCTGCGTTCCCTTCTCGTCTTTACCACCTGGTTTTGTCCGTGACAGATATTGGCGCTTCGCGCACTTCGCATTGTTGCGGGTCACCTCGAGCGACGCGCCCCGACACAGGTGGACGTCCACGCGGTTGAGACGCATGAAAGACGCTTCATGTGGCTGGGGCTTTACTGGTCGAGAACACACAAACGGAGGAAAATACCAACATTTGTCTGTGTCTCAATTCGGCTTTTTTGTATGGGTATGCAGCCCCTACGCCGTTGTGTTAGCTGTTCATGCCTAGATTTTATTTCACAACCAAACATTTTAGGACACCATTATTTTAATATAAAAGCTTTCTAGGGTGCCCTCATTTATTTACTTCCATCTTTATCGCCATTATAACTACCAATTATGCAATGCGGGACTTAACAACCGGGAAAGTTGTCTAGAGCATACCAGTCATTTTCAATCAATCATGCTATATACAGATTTCAGAACACGCGTCTAAAAGCCTGAATAAAAAGCATATCAATTTTTTTTTAATTCTTTACTCGATTTCAAATGTTTAAGTTCCTCCAAATATAATATGTAATGATAATGAAGAGGAGAAATTATGTGCGGAAGCATTTTTAATGGCTCTTATGCAGAACGCGCTTTCTGTCGTTCGTCCTAGGTTCCGATTTGCCAGGTTTTATCGGTTCTTTGGAGGACAGGAAACAATACGTGATAAAACTCCTCGGTGGGTGTGGTGGACAGCACCAAGAATACAAAATAAACGAGGTAAATAATCTCAATCAGTCATACTATATGTCCAAAAAGCCTGAAATAAACTAAATTTTTTATTTTTGCATTTTTTTTTTAAAATTCGGTTTCAACCTTTCAGAAACAAATATGGTTCCATAACTGCACATACATTTGTATGAAAAGAAATAACGAGTTAACTTCTGAAGTTCGTCGAATTCCAGACGACATGATTTGCAACAAAGACAAAATGGTGAGTAGAAAAGTGCAGTACATAGTGACTTTATAGGAGGGCAAAGAAACTAGTTTATTTCCCTTGAAGAAACAACTTGAAATGTGACCAAACCAGAACTCTTGTTTTTAAGGCTTTGAGTCTCGCGTACCCTTCGTAGGTATTTTACTATCTCATCCTATAGTTACGGATAAGATGAGAATGGCAGGGAGGAGCTACTGTTGTCCCGCCCCCAGCGCGAGCTTCCTATCTTCAATAACGCTTTGGAGTCTCGCGAGCCTCGAGCGTGTTTGCGCAGCCGAAGCACGGTGGAAGGCGATGAGCGCGTGCTGGAGGCAAACCGTTCGAAAGAGGTAATAATAATGGTACCTTTATTTTTTCCAACAAAATACAATGTTGAAAATGTGACACAGCAAAAAAGCTGTAAAAATAGCTTGACGAGCCCCGAGCCACCTATAACAGCAGTCGCGATGCAGGCGCCAAAGATTTATACAAAATTAAAACATTACATGTGAACTAGCTACATGTTTGACAAACTTCACAACAAAAAATACAAAAAAAGAGCTGACGCTATACAAGATTAAGTAGCATATTGATACAATTCACACAATAGTGAAAACATACACAGAACGTTAGGACATCATTGAAATAAACGCGAAAGAAAACATCGATTCAAGAGTTTTTTAGCGCTTATTGCGGACAATGTGGCTCGAAATAAACATTTGAAATAAGCATTTCCCGTAAGATGCTCATAGATATATTGCTAAGCTCAATACCCTGCCTGCTAAGCTGGTTAAGGGTAGTCGGTCAAGTATATTTTAAACTTTGGTGGCCGTTGTTTGTTTAAAAAAAAAGTACTTCCCAAAGTTCCTTAATTCGTGTTGGGTATCTATAAATTTTATCTGTTAGCTTCGCTAAGTTTTTAATGTGATATTGGGATAAATTTGTTTCATTTTATATCTTGCACATAAAGGATATTTATAGAAATCAAAAATTTTCATCACACCAATTTTACTAATGAGATCATCGTTTGGATGTTCTAGTGGCACTTTAGAGATACTTCTTAATATCTTTTTTTGTAACATAAAGATTTTGTGGAGGTTGGTATAGGTAGTAGTGCCCTATATGGAGTTTACCATAATTTCAATGTGAATAAAATAATGAATTGTATAATATTAACTTTGTTCTAAGTGGTAGAGTGTGTTTATGGCGATAGAAAATACCGACGATATCCTAGATAATTTTGACACGATATGATTAATATGGTCGTCCCATGACAAGTTCCTTTTAAAAATAACGCCCAAAGATTTAAACGCGGTAACAATTTCTATCCGAGAAGAATTTATAAAAATATCCTTGGTAATATTAATATGTTTATTCTTAGTTCGGAATATAACTGATTTTGTCTTAACGCCGTTAACATCCTGGCAGTGTCTTAGCTGAGTGTGCATACTGCACGGTTCAATTTTTGTTTCCTAATTTTTCGAAGGATAGAATAGTATTTATTTAGATGGGTCAGGAGACAGCCCTTAGCCTAATGTTTGATACCTTGATGGATGGATGAATCTGGCCGAGCCCTTTGGATCGGGCGGTAGCTTACGCCACCTAGCCACTTTGTTTTACCATTTAAGCTTAGAATATTGAAATGTGAAAACTATATACACTCCGCACGGCAAAGAAAGTGAGGCTATAAAACCCGAATCCCGGAGAAAAGCTCACCGGAGAAAAGCTCACAGGAGAAAAGCTCACCGGAGAAAAGCTCACCGGAGAAAAGCTCACCGGAGATAAGCTCACCGGAGATAATCTCACCGGAGAAAAGCTCACCGCAAAACCGGCGTATGCGGAGAAAAGCTCACCGATTTTTTTTTTCTTTTTATATGGAGGCTTTTGGATCATGCGTAACATGTATCAATTTATTATCATTAAAGTTAGTCAGCTTTGTCAAAAAGAAAATGTTCTTTTTTGTATTATTTGCCAAGCTTATTAAGTATATTGCTCCCAAATTAATAATGGCGGGCCAGTGTTTTCTGCGGCTTACTTTCTCGGCAACTAAAGCCTAACTGAAAATCTTTATGAACTTGAATAACATGAAAAAGTTCGAAAACTTATGTCTCCCTAAAACCTAAAAATCAAAACTGTAAACACCGAAAATCCGAAAGTGCATGCGCAACAACGCGGAGCCTGAAATTCTCTTTGAAGCTTTTATTGACCTTTGAAAACAGGATAAAACATTGAGTAGGATATCGAGGCTTCTTTCTTCCACGGACATGCACGTTTTCAAGCCGTTCGTGCTGGTGTGTCCGCACGTTGCCTTTAGTGATAGTTCCCTATATAAGTGCCCTATATGCCCTATATCGTGACCTATATAAGAAGTAAGCTTCTGTAGGGTAGCGAGTAGGGCGAGTTGGTGAACGTTATGCATGATGAAAACCGCTCTAGCGACGACGACGGAGTGAAGACAACGAACACGACAGGACGAAGCTGTTCTCGCAACTAAAGTTTTCTTAGTGAAATTAACAGAAAGAAAACAGCGTAGCCGACACTGATTGCATCAACAAATACCTATTTAACTATTTAGGCACTACAGAATATTTGGAGCTCAAACGGCTCACCACACCGCTATTCATATTAGCTCACAAAGAACAAACCTCTTTATTTGACAGAGCTACCGACGGCGCACCCTCAGTTGCTAATAAATTGTTGTCTTTTTTACCGGTGTACAATGTTTTGATATCATTTTTGCGGCTTCGTTAATATACAGAAGGGGTGATTACCAATTCCTGAGGAATCAGTGAATATGCCCAATGACCTTCAAGAACATTACAAGAAAGGGGACATTTTTTTTTAAAAATGAAGTGGCGATTGCGAATTCTGTTAAATTGCCACGTTTGACGCAGAATCCGATAAATTAAAAAAAAAATCGGTGAGCTTTTCTCCGCATCTGCCGGTTTTGCGTTGAGCTTTTCTCCGGTGAGCTTATCTCCGGTGAGCTTTTCTCCGGTGAGCTTTTCTCCGGTGAGCTTTTCTCCGCCGCCCATAAAACCCCCTTCTAACGTGACACAGGCACCACCTGGTGCCTGGCTCAATTGCTATACATATCTTTGGCCCCGTCAAAATTTGTAGCTCTCGGGGTTCGTACCCATATCTAATCATCTGTTTTTTTTTGGACGGATCTTGGTGAATCGTGGATCGAGTCTTATTTGGAGGCCACCCAATACTCATGATGTATCGGATTGTACGCGACAACATATCTGTTTAGTTAGCGGTTGAAAATCTTGATATGATGTAACGTAAAAATCGTGCATTCCTTCGGTTTTTCTTTCTTATAATTGTCAAAGTATTGAAATTTACTTTATTCAGCTGTCAGACATTTTGTGTTATCTTAAAATTCAGAAAAATAGAAATATTTGCAATCTCGCAATGTTAGCAGTCATAATAAAACAGATGTATGTTCCGTTTTTGTCAAAATGCCCCATACAATTTCTAACCTTTTACTGTGCAATTCTTGCATGCTGATCGTATAATATTCTCGGTTACCATAATAGAGGATGAGTGCGCAGTTACCATTGTAGAGCGTGCTGTGTTATTATTGATGCCGTGTTTTCAAAGGGCATTGGTGTCAATTGAAAACTAAAATAAATCTGAAGTTGAAGTGTAAACCTCCAAAGCACTCTCTTTTTTTTTTTTTACTCTTTTTTTATTAAACGTTTCGTGCTAGACTTGTTCTGGTCTTACGATCCTGATAAGCACTACAGATAGCGAGTGCTAAAAAAAGATAAATCTTGCTTTCATCAAGAAAAAACCGGATTCTAGCTCGAATAAGAACTCCCAAAAGCTTCCAGCACCATGCCTTCTGAATCGTTTTCAGTTGGATTGTTGCTGCATTGTTCGGTTGGCGTTCTCTCATGCTTGTCTTTGGCCGGAGGAGGTGGTGGGGTGGTGGTAATTAGTGATTCACAAAGGATAATCAATCTCTCTACTACCATTTTTTTCTCTCTCTCCCTCTCCATAGCGCAAGTCAGTTATTTCGTCAACTGCGAGAGATGTTGCAGATCAGTTTTGACCTGCTGTTCCTAAAATTAAAGTCGTTTGTCTCCGATGTTTCTTTCTAACAGTTTTCCCACTTGCTTGTAACCAGCTAACCCATGGGGAACTAATGAGCTCACCGTAGGACCCCATGCATAGAAGATTAATATATTCAACCAAACTTGAAAAGACACTGATTTGTATAACATTGGTGAAAAAAATATGTTTAACTAACGTGATGTACAACTGTTTCAGAAATGCCCCAGTGAAGGAAACTGCCCTTTACCATATTGCTGAAATAAGGCTGTTGGGTGAAAAAGGAGACTGCCCAGTTATCTCCTTACAAGGCCGCTAAATAAAAACATATTCTAAATGAAAAGCGTGTTTGTGTGGGTAGAATATTATCGTAAAGCTAAACAATAAAATGAAATCCACCCTCAACAAGCGCACACGAGCCAGCACATGTTGGATTGTGTGTTTTATTTCAGCTCGACTGTTTTATTATTTTTTTTAATAGATGGGGTTTAGCTACGGCAACCTTATGGCACACCCCAAGAAATAACCGAGCTTTAAATTAAAACCCCTGGAAATATCCAATCTCAAGCGGATATTAGGCTTTTTTTATGGCCTCATAAAAAAAAAAGACGAAAAAAAAACTCTACATTGTTTTTACTACGATTAGAATCCCAAGCCACCCCCTGTTATCCGTAGCCCGGCACTAAGCCTTGGAGCCACCGAGATAAATTGCAACTAAAATAAATTGCTCCTCAAAAACATTTTTAAAAGCTGAGCTCTTTACCCAGATTGCAATTAAAGTGCAACGAGCTTGGGACATTCACTGAACATCTAATACCTTTGTTACACGGGCACACTTCACTGCAGTTACGCTAAGCCACAGTTAGCACACTCTTATGGCGAAGTTCCCTAAGCGTCTTGGAGCGCTCCGGGATCAGTTGACCAGATCTGGATTGGAGCACACGATCCGAACGGGGTCGCGCTGCCTACGGATCCCCAGCTAGAACATGACCACTGCTCCGGGATCGGCGGATGCCTTCCCGTTATTCAACTGCCCAGGAATCCCCTTTTCGCAGCCGCCGCGGCCGTTTCAAAGACGTTTTCGCAATCGCGGCGCTAACATGTTTTCGACGCACGAGCGGCAGGAATGACTCAGGCACTTCTAGCAAAGATTGCCGGAATGCCCGTAGCGCGGCAAATACCTTCTCTTCTCCTTCCTGGAAAACGAACCGGCTGTCCAGCCAAGGGGTAAGCAAGCGGCCATCACGAGTTCTTCTGATGTCGAGACAATCTAGGAGCCCAACCTGCGACGTGTTTTTTCTTCTTCTGAGGCGAGATCAGGCGAGATGCCCCACAAGAAAGGAAGTCACGTGTGTGCGCCGAGGGCTGGCCCGGCTGGCTTCCGGTTGAATCCGCCGAAATCGTGGGAGCGACTTTTCTGGGATCCAGATCAAGATCTGGAGCGGGAGCTAATCCAAGACGACCACTGAAACACGTCGGTCTCGATCCCGATCGCCCAGTGAAATAGGCTCGCTCCAGAAAAGTCGATCCCGGCGCGCTCCAAAACGACCAGCGGAATTCGCCATTACTTGCGGACAACATTCTGCGGCTATGCAGTCAAAGCTATGGACAAACATGCGCTTGAGCATCTTGAGCACACATCAAAGCAGCGCACGCGCACTCCTCAGTTCTTCTGAAATAGCTATACGAGAGTATAATGGGGTAACTCTGGCGACGCGTAACAACAATTAAAGGTAAGTTAACTGGGGTTAAGGGTGCCCGTGTAACACCGGTATAACACGACGGTATAACAGGGGTATAATACCCCTGTTATACCCCTGTTACACAGGCACACTTAACCGCGGTTAACTCAGCTTAACTGCTGTTGCGCGGCACCACACATACCGCACTATACTCTCTGACAGCTATTTCAGTAGTAGTGAAGAGCGCGCGCGCACTGCTTCGATAGATGCTCAAGATGCTCAAGCGCACGTTCGCCCATAGCTTTGACTGCATAGCCGCAGAATGTTGTCGGCAAGTATTGTGCGCTATCTGTAGCTTAGCGTAACTGCAGTTAAATGTGCCCGTGTAACAAGGGTGTCGAAACCAATGAGCCGAAGCGTTGATGACTACAAGAAAAAACACTACTTTAATCACCGGTAGCTGCGTTACTCACACTTCCCAGTTCCGAACGAAAATCCCCGATAGAAATTGTAGCTCGCGCTCGGGCCAAGTCCCCGAACCTCCTCGTCTTCTTTTCCGCTCCGCTGAAGGGTTTCTTTATCCACCCCCCAAAAGGGAACAAAGTTCATTTTTAACCGCTTTCCAGCCCGTACACAAGTTGTATTGGTCGTTTTACAACCGCACCAGCGGGAAGTCAGATCTCGCAGACTCGTACTCTTCCGTCTCTTCCGGAAAACAATGTTTTCACAACTCCCATCTTCCAGAGCTGGCGTGGTTGCTGGCTTTCGTGAAGAATAACCAGGTCCCCAACTTTGAGATGTCGGTTTGACCTCCTTGTCTTGTACAGTGATCGGAGTTCCGTTAGGTACTCCTTTGACCATCGTTGCCAGAACTATTTCAGGAAGTCTTCTCTGAGTTTCCAGAGCCTTCGCAGCGATTCTGCGTCTCCGTTTTGCAAGTCGGAGTCGGACGGTTTTTGTAACGACGTAAGTCTTTTCCCTGTCGTGAAGTGCGACGGTGATAGTGGCTGAGGCTCTTGCGCTTCACTGTACGCGTAGGTCAATGGTCGAGAATTGATGATTGCTTCCACCTCAGTGAGGAGAGTCACTAACTCCGATGGCTTTCTTCAAAGAGTTCTTGACTGACCTGATCAAACGCTCGTAAAATCCGCCCCACCACGCGGCACGTTCTGCAATGAACTTCCATTGTATCCTGCTGTTTGCGAAGTAATTCCGCACTTCTTCGTCTCGTAGAACATTCCAAAGCTCGCTTAAGTCTTTCTTGCTTCTCTTAAATGCCAACGCATTGTCAGAGTAGATCACTCTTGGCACGCCTCTTCTTGATACAAATCGTCGGAGCGCACGCAGGAATGTTTCTGCCGTCATGTCCGGTACCATTTCCAAGTGTACTGCCCTAGTAACTGCACACGTGAACAACGTGAGATATGCCTTCCTCTTTGTTTTCCTCGCTGTGACCCATACGGGTCCCGCAAAGTCAACACCCACGACCTCAAAGGCTTCCCTCTTCTGTGACACGATCTGCGGGCAAGGGCGCCGTCACTTCTGACATTGGTCTGGCGTTCAGCCGTTGACATGCGATGCATTTCTTGATTTCTTTTTTTATCATTTGACGAGCTTTTACGATCCAGTATCGCTCCCGCAATTGCACGAGTGTGTCACGCACTCCCGCGTGCAATAGTCTACGATGTGCTTCAGTTATCAACAACTTCGAAAAGTGGTCGTCTTTTGGCAGCACAACGGGATGCCTTTCTTCAAAGGATTTTTCGGAGAACTGTAGTCTTCTTTCTACCCGAAGTATTTCATCGTTATCCAAAAAAAGAGAAATGTCTCTTATAGGAGAATCTGGCGGTAGTTTTTTGCCGTCTCGAAGATTCTTTATCTCCTGTTCGAAGGCTCTACGTTGTACATTCTTTATTATATATTTTTCGGCTCTGCTCAATTCTTCCGCGGTTAATGGTCCAGTTTAAGCGCTAATTCTTTTAGACTTCATTATAAAGCGGAGTACCCACGCCATTGTTCGCCGAAGTCGCATAGCTGTGCTAAACCGCTCAATTTCTGGAACCATCGTTTGGTCTGCTGTTGCCGTGGGTAACACTGCAACCTTTTTCTTCTCTGTTTCTTCTATATTGAATTCTTGCGGTTCGTACTTCTCTGGCCACCGCTCTGGTACTGTTAACCAGCTAGGTCCTTTCCACCATACTTCACTGTCGAGCAGCTCCCTGGCTGTGATTCCTCTGGTCACCAGGTCCGCTGGGTTCTCTTTGCCTGGGCAGTGTTTCCAAGAGCAAGGATCAGAGTTTCGCCGGATTTCAACGACTCTATTTCTTACAAACTGTTTCCAGTCATTTGCTTCTCCGAGGATCAAATGAAGAGCTATCTTCGCATCGGTCCACAAGTGCACTTCGTGGATGTTCTCCTGCAGCTTGGTCTTAATGTAGACACTCAGTCTGGTTGCCAAAAGACATGCCAAAAGTTCTAGCCTCGCTACAGAAAGTTCTTTTAGAGGTGCCACTCAAGACTTGCAAAGCAGGATCGTGGATGTCGTGGAGCCGGGATCATTCGTCATAGTTACGTATGCTACGGCTCCATACGCCTGAGGACTTGCATCGGCAAAGATGTGCAGGTTTGTCCTGATCGTCACTCCCTCTATTCCCCGTCTGTAGAAACGTGGCACCATGACGTCACATAGCAATGGAAGATCCGCACACCATCGGTGCCATTCACTGCGCAGGTCAAGAGGCAGTAGGTCGTCCCACTCCATCTTCTGTTTCCAGATTTGTTGAAATAGGATCTTTGCTCGCACGACAAATGGCGCGAAGAATCCTAGGGGATCGTAGAGTCTGGCTGTAGTCTGTAGGACAAACCTTTTTGTGTCTGAGTGCTTCTCTACGAAGTTCAGAACATCGTCTGGTGCAAATGTTAAGAGGTCTGTGGCAGGGTTCCACGTTAGTCCCAGCACCTTGAAAACTCCCGCAACCTGCCCCAATGGGTGTTCCTCGTGGTGATTCGAGTCAACCTCATTTAAGAGCGTTTTCGAGTTAGACACCCACTTGTGCAGCTTCATTGACGCTTGCTCGAAAATTGCTGTCGATTCCCTGAAGATCTTAGTGGCTTCTTCTTCGCTGGATGCACCGGTAAGAATGTCATCCACGTAAATGGAATCTTGCAGCAGCACCGCGGTGTCTGGATACTCGTTCTTCATTGTTTCCAGGTGATGTTTTATCGTCGCAGACAATAAAAATGGGCTCGATGTAGTTCCAAAGGGAACTCTCGTCATCCTCCAGATGAGAATTGGAGGAAGTGGTCTTCCGACCTGTGGGGTAGTTTTATACCACAGGAAGCGTAACGCATCGCGATCATCTTCTTGTATACTTATCTAAAGAAACGCCTTCTCGATGTCGGCCACTAGCGCGATACAATGTCTTCTGAAGCTCAGAAGCAACGCGACAATATCCGGGTTCAGATTGGGGCCACTTTCCAAACAGCCGTTCAACGACTTCGAGCTTTTGCTATGGGAAGAAGCGTCAAATACCACTCGCAATTTAGTGGTGGTGCTCCTTTCGCGACAAACTGATTGGTGTGGCATGTAGAACTTCCGAGATCCAGTCTGCTCATCTGACACTTCTTCTGCCATTCCACCTTCGGTGTACTTCCGGATCGCGACGTCATAGTCCCTCATCAACTTAGGGTTCTGAGTTAACTTCCTTGTTAGCTGCTGAAGCCTCCTCTCCGCAACTTGTTTGTTATCGTCTAAGTTCACTACGGGTTTCCACGGGAGGGCCACCTCGTACCGAAGACCGATCTTCTTAACTGTTTCTTTGTAAGACGCGATCACGGGTTCTGTCTCAGAATGAGGTTCGTCGGTTATACCAATCGATTCAAGCTTCCATAACCTTTGCATTATTTCAGATGCATCCATGTTGTTTGTCATTGCGTTGAGAACGACCATCTGTGAGCTCTTCATGACAGATGCTGAAAGTTCTGTTGGACCGTGTACGGTCCAGCCAAGAGACGTCTCGATTGCTCGAAGTTTTCCGTCGAGTCTCCTAACTTGGCCCGTGACGAAGTTCCAATAGCAATCGCCTCCAATCAGTATGTCCACGCCGTTGGGTCCCTCAGCTTCGCAGAAGTCCGCGGCCGTGTATCCCATTTTTTTCAGTTGGGGACGCAATTCTTCTCTTGGATAGGGCAATCGTTGACCACAAATACGGCTTGTCTCAAGTGCTTCCAAACGGAAAACTTCACCTCTCTGATTTTCAAGAGTCACAAGAACTCTGCGAAAGTTTTGTTCTGTCGTGTGGTCGCCAAATGCTCCTACCGTCAGTCTTTCGTTTCCCAGGTGCTTGCATCTGAGCTTTCGTGAGAGTACTTCTGTGAAAAAAGACCTCTGGCTTCCGCCGTCGAATAGCACTCTTACAAGGATGCGCTGTTTCAGTCCCAAGCTCCACACTGTCGCTGTTTGCAGGAGGACGGTTTTGTTGACCCCGTCTTTAATCGTAGATTGTAGGGCCACTGGACCAGCAGAGGTCAGTTTTTTCTCTTGTCTGCCTTTGTCGTCTCTTGAGCTTGACAAGAACGTTGGGTCACACATGACTGATGCGTGTCGACCTTGGCAGTTGGAGCAAGAAATGTTTTTCCTGCACTGTTTGGCAAGGTGGTTTTTCTTCGTGCACCTAAAGCATCTTCCCGAGCTCGTTAAAATCTTCCTCTTCTCGGGAAGACCTATCGTTGTTGTGCACAGCTCTGTCTCGTGGTCTGCTGATTTGCAGAAAACACAGCTCTGCTTGTCATTTCTGTAGAAGTGTCGCGGCCCTTCCTTTTGTCCATGGTTTTGAATTGTGCTTTGCTGCACGAGATGCTACTCCACTCTCTTTTCCTGCTTTACTTCTTATGCCTCCTGATTCTGTTTTTTTTGTGACTGTCGTTCTTTCTCTACTTTCAACTTCAATTCTCAGAAATTGCATAAGTGATGGTAGTTGCCTTAGCTGGGACTGTTCTACAACGTGTTGGTTTCCTTCGCCAGCCGCGTTTACAGCCTCATCTTCCGGGCGACGCTGTTCTTTCTTCCGAACGACATTTCTGTTGAAGGTTAGCACAAGACCTTCTGGAATCAGCCGAAGTACAAGGGGGCAAAGGAGAGTCGAATAAGAATCTTCGTTAACCCCTAGAGACTTGAGTCCTCTTATATGCGCTTGGAGGTCATCGTGTAGTCGTCGTAGTCCTCGGACGTCTTCCGAGGTCCGAACTGGCTGCCGTTCTGCTAGTTTCATCATGTGGTCATCTACTAGCAGCGCCTCGTCGCCGTAACGGGAATTTATGATCTCCCGCGCATCTTCATAACAGCTGGCCGTTGGTGGCAATCCGGCAATCGCTGCAGCAGCCTCTCCCGACAACGCCGATCTGAGGTAGTGGAACTTCTCGGCCGATGACAGTTCTGGGTTACCATGGATGACCTGCTCGAACTGCTCCCAGAAGGGCTGCCATTGTTGACGTTGTCCGTTGAATTTCAAGAGTTCAAGTTCTGGTAGCTTGACCTTGACTGACAAAGTGGGACTGCGGTGGTTTGTTGTAATTTCTTGACCGCTTGTACTCGCTCTTTCGTGTAGGGTCCGCGCTTTGAAGGTCAGTCTTGCCGAGTAGGTGACGATACGATCGCTGTACTCGACGGTCCGAGCATACTCTTGCTCGATGTCACTTGCTGCCAACAATGGTTCGAGGGCAGAGTCCGTTTCGGTAAGCTGACCATGTAGCGCGTTGAGACGAGTCAGTAAGACGTTGAGCTCTTCCTCAATCGGCACTTCGGTTTGGGTAGCTGTATCGATTTCTGTCAGCAGCTTTGTTACCTGTGAACGCAGGGCTTTTCGCTTCTGTTTCAGCCTATCCATGGCAGCGTCGTTATGGTCCCTTGCGTTCTCGAGCTGGATGGTGTCTTGTCCTGTAGCCTCGTTACATCAACGCTTGTGACACCTTCTCATCTGGCCCATCGTACAGTCCTGATCCCGGGTTTCGGCACCAAAATGTCGAAACCATTGAGCCGAAGCGTTGATGACTACAAGAAAGAACACTACTTTAATCACCGGTAGCTGCGTTACTCACACTTCCTAGTTCCGAACGAAAATCCCCGATAGAAATTGTAGCTCGCGATCGGGCCAAGTCCCCGAACCTCCTCGTCTTCTTTTCCGCTCCGCTGAAGGGTTTCCGGGCATACTTAACCGCGATTAACTCAGCTTTAACTGCGGTTACGTGGCAGCACAGATGCCGCACTATACCCTCGGAGAACTATTTCAAAAGAAGTGAAGAGAGCGCGCGCACTGCTTCGATAGATGCTCAAGATGCTCAAGCGCACGTTCGCCCATAGCTCTGACTGCATCGCCGCAGAATGTTGTCGGCAAGTATTGTGCGCTAATTGTGGTTTAGCGTAACTGCAGTTAAATGTACCCGTGTAACAAGGGTATAAAAAAGAAAACTCGAACTTTCATCGCCGGCTCAAGGTGCAAGGTCGGTAGCAATAGACCCTTTTCAAAAGTCAGAGTCCTCTTGTGGCAGTATAAAAAGCTCCATTATTGCCGCTCTAATGGCGGTGATAGGAGATCATGCGCGGCTAAATCAAACACCCTCGATTCCGTACATCGAAGGTGACGTGAAAGGACAAACATCTTTTCCTTTTTCTGCTCTATGCTTTAGAAGACGTTCGATTTTTCTGGTGTGGAGAAACAGTGTAGTTCCGCCATTAGAGCGTCGGGTCTGGCTCTGCACAAGGTGGGTAGACTGACTTTCGTAAAGGGTCTATTGTGGCTGTATAACACGAGAGTGCACGAAACTAGAGCGTCGACGAGAAAGCCCGCGACCAGACAGCCCTTGTCATTAAGCGCGCGTCACAAGAGCGCTTGCATGTGCGCGCCTTGGGAATGATCGACATTGCGTTCCTCAAACACATGTTTTTATGAAGCTGGAATTTTGACACCAAAAGGGGGGGGGGGGGGGGGGGGGGGGGGAGTAGCATTTTGAACGCTTGATGTCAGTTAATTGGCTGAGTACTCAAACAAAGCTGGACGAAACGGCAGAAGCGTGTTGAACGTAGCGGTCTGTAGTGACGCCATTTGAGATGATTTATTTTGTTTAGGTTAATTATGCCAACGCCATACATTACCGCGCGGTAGTCACCGCTGCCACTTGTTGCTCCTTTTAAGGTTGGTCTACTTTCGTTTTCGAGACAATTCTACTTTTCCTTTTTGTCCTCCCCCCCCCCCCCCCCCCCCCCCCTCCAAAAAAAAAAAAAACAAAAAACAACTCCGTTCATACATATATAGATATATAAATGGAAAAAGAATCGTTTCGGCGATAACCTTTCGTTTCTTCTTTTTTTTTTTTTTTTTGGGGGGGGGGGATTAAACATTTCAGTTATTTACTGTGAACCAGGCTACAGGAGCCTAGCTACTATGCACGCGGGTGTAATATGCTTATCATGTTTACTGCTGGCAAACATCAGGAAAACGTCGAATTGGAAACGCGCTGGAAGTAAATCCGTTGTTCTTATGATTAGAAAAGAAATATGAATTTGCCCTTACATATTGTGCAGTGCTGGCTGTCGCGTAACAGATAATCCAATGTATAATAACCCAGTTACTATACACCAACTCATGTTTACAAACAAACCGGAGCGCCCCTAGCGGACGCCACTGGCGCCGCGCATGCGCGATGGACGGTGGGCAAGAAGCCCGCCGTCGCCCATGAACGAACCATTGAATTGCGCTGTTTTCGGCGTCGATAAGAGTCCCCGTGCTCTTTTTCGCGTTGGAATTGTTGATTCTACGTCCCCTTAACAATGTCTGACTACTTGAGCGGCTTCAGCAATATTAACGAGGTAAAACTTTGTGTGAATAATGTGACTTGTGGCGATTCATTTCACGTGGACGCCGCAGAATGGGCGCTAAAGCCTGACTCGCACGATGAGATTCTGCTCGCTATTTTCAGTCGCGACGTCGCTCGGACTGCAAAAGCGTGGACCGTAGCTGAGATGGTGGACGTCGATACTGAAAACCGCAAGTAGAATCGGTCATTACAAATCGGTGATGGCCACTGGTAACCTGTTTACACTTAGCCTACTTACCCCAAACAACCTTCAAGAGTGTTTTGAGGCCTGCACTTAGTTCTTATCGCAATTACCGGGTCAATGTTTGGTTTACGGGGTGCTGTCGTTTGAAGGAGCTGACGACAAAAAGCAGACAAGTTTGAAAGAGCAGACGACAGTTCGAACGCTTGCGCAATTGAGTGCGGGCAAGAAGCACCGCCTCCCGCATCAACAAACCATTGGAATGTCACGTTGTCGGCGTCCGTGTGAGTCTGCATACTGTTTTTCGCGTTGGAATTGTCTATTGTACGTCCTCATAGCAATGTCTTGCCACTTTAATCGCCTGAGCGAAATTGTCAAGGCCCGTTGCACCGCTAAACTTTGCGTAAATAATTTGACGTGCGGCGATTCATTAGCGTGAACGCCGCAGAATGGACGCCGAAACCATGATGAGATTCTTCTAGATATTTTCGGTAGCGTCGTCGCTCATGTGGCAAAAGTGTTGAAGGTAGTGGCGATGATCGACGTCGATACTGAAAATCGGAAGCGGGAACAGACCAAGCCTAACAAGTCGGTGATGGCCATTGGTACCAATGATCAGCATCTTGTATCTACAGTTTACACCGAGCCTACTTAAGTCTTTTGGGGCCTGCAATTAATTCTTATTGCAATCACGGGGTGAAAGTTTGGTCCACGGCCGCTTTTGTTTGAACGAGCAGACGAAAAAAACAGGCTCGAAAGAGCAGACGAAAGTTCGAACGATCATGCGGCCGTGTGAATTTGAAGACGCACTGAACCCGCGGGTGGCCCGGACAACTTGGCGGTTTTTTCTCGTTCATGTTGGAACAAAACAAATACATCTGCCGACCACAAAGTGTTGCCCGCACAAGCAATCGTAGTTCGACAGCGCCTGGTTTACCCTTTTCACGGCTACGATCCACGTACTCGGACGAACGGAGCGGGCAGAAACACTGTAAAACTGATCTTCAAACCTTTCCAGACTCTTTTCGTACAGCCCCCGTCGCAGCATTTTGACGAGAACTCTGGTTTATCCGAAAAGAACACAAGAATGCATGTCTCGCACGGCGACTTCTGCCCACCGCCCCAGACCGGAAGTGCGACCGACGCGCCACCACTGCGGCGTGACGTAGGAGAGTTGAGTTCGTGTATAGAAGGGAATAGACCGATCTCACCAGCCAATTCCGCTACGCCGCCGCTGCCGGCAAAAAAAAAAAAAAAAAAAAAAAAAATGGAGTGTGGTTATGTTTATAGAGCCTGATGTCTGCCTCAACGGGCAACTTGTATCCCAGTCGTAGATGAGAAATTTAGCCAGTGCGGTACAACCGCCAGCCTGGGGTCTTCAACGTGCACCACGCAGTAGTGATACACGACCGCACGCCGGTACGATTCTCATCGAGATGGAAACGGGCAGGGGTGGGGATTGAACCCAGGATCCCTGGGTTCTGCAGCGCGAGCTTTCGCTCCACGTGCTCCGAGCTGGTGTGCACTTCGTTCCACTTTAAGGCCGGTTCAGACACTTGCGTTTGAGTGCGTTTGACTGCGTTGCGTCGAGAACCGAAAGCGAGTCACCGGCACTTCTGTGCTTCGTATAAAGCGTGGATTCCAATTCAAGGAATCATCATGGCACGCGATATAAGCAGCAGAAATGTCCTGGTTTCTCGCTGCCGCAACGCAGTCAAACGCGGTCAAACGCAACTGTCTGAACCAGGCTTTAGCATGGACTATTGTTAGCCGCGCGTGCTAAAAGCGCGTGCTATGTGCTTTGCATGAAGCCTCGGTGGCTCCAGGAGCGTTCATACAGCGAGTGCTACGGTTAAGGCAGTGAGGGCTACCCGCTCGCGCTTGCACAGCCTTCGCATTTAGTCCATGCTAAGGTATATAAGACGAACTAGCCCACCCGGCCCCTATGCAATCCCCCCCTCAACCGGCATGCATCGTGGAAACTGTAGTCTTTCTGTCCTTCAGCACGCGCGACAACCCCACTGCGGGTCGGCACGAGCAGAGCACGAGACGGCACGAGCTGAGCCGTTCATTGTCGCCTGCTCCCTGTGAACTACAATTAAGGCGGAGTCACGCATGCGTGGAACGCTCGGTGAGATCGGTCTATTCGATATTCGAACGTTCTGCAATGGGAAAGGCGCCTTATACCGCCGGCAAAGCTACAGGCGCGAGCTAGCCCGCGCTCCTGGCTTTGAGACGTGCGTTTCTGAGTGCTCGTTCTGCGGAAGAACGCTTCAAAGCAGCGACTTCCAGGTCTCGCACTTGTGGCATTGGCTCCAGTCTCAGCTTAAAGACTCTGTGCAATGATATTCGCTTGGAATCTGTTTCGCTTTACACGAGCTTACCGGCACTACAGTTGGACCTAGGGTGCCTTGATGTGCGCTTTGCTTAGGATGGTGGCATCTCGCCATTTTGTCAAACACGTTTATTTTTATTTTTTGTTCAGAAGCGCGTGAAAGAGCGTGTCCCTGCACGCGTTTGTTGCGCTGACTGTGCTACGGCGACATTTTGTTTTTCGTCAATTTCTTTGTATTTTCCCCGTGAGCGCGTGCTGTCGGCATCGGGTACTACAAAGGGTGGCATCACCCTAAACAGAAAGACATTGAGGCACCCTAGTTGGACCCAAGTGCACTCGCACGCAACGCCACTGGGCCACTGACCAAGAAACTCCTTTGAAGCGTTGTAATATCAAGGCCGAAAGCGAGCGTTTTCTTTCAATCTCTCCTTCGCAAAACTTGATGACGTAGCTGGGGAGTCGCAGTATCCCTCAGTGACGATATTTGAATGCGGCTC